GGGGCAGCGAACACCTCTCTGGGCAACGTGGGCTAGCGTTTAATCACCTTCTCTCTAATCTAAACATCCCCTCTCTCAGTTTAAAATCATCACCCCTTGCCCTGGCACAACAGGCCCTGCTGAAAACATTGCCCCGGAGTTGTGAAAAGAAACAGGACAATCAGATCAAGAATTTTATTGTAAGGACAAAGGAAGAGGTGGAGCTCGTCCCTCCTCATCACAGCTGAGTTTAAAGTGCTCACCCTAAACAAGATACAGAGGTCATATCTGCACTAAGGTATATATTATAAATTATTCCATGCATCCATTAACAAAATATACAAAGCCAACAGAAATATATTTATCTTAACATATACTTAGGCTTACCTAAACCCTAGTAAAAAGTAACCTACAGAAAACAGCATTTCACACGTCACATTTCAATCCACAATGAAGTGTTCCTCTTCAAACATTGTAGTGTTTTGTTAATTCGTAGAACACATTAACATTCTAAGTATGAAGGGACAAACGGAAAGCACAGGTGTCCTGCTGGGCATTCCAGATCAAAACAGATAACTACACTACACTTACAGGATTCACCAGCTACTGCACTTCATCCACATCCTTTCCTCCTCCTCGTTCTAAAATAGGCATAAGCCAAAGCCACTCAAAACAGCAGGCTTAAGGTAGGAAAAAATGAGTGGTTTCAAGTTAAAGATCTTCACCTGGTCCACAGCAGACAGTTGTACTGGTGTACATAGATATGGGAAACACTGCAAAATAGTTCTACTGTATTTCAAAATAAACATTTAAGAGTATATCTTCCACAATCTATAAAAATAGGTTTAAACCAAAAATGGTATGATACATATTTTTCTTCAATTATTTTAATGGTCTCTTATCTCTGAGGGTATTTCATCTTAAAAAATTACTACTACTGATCACCTGGTTAGTTGCAATACTGATACTACTTCAGCTACATCGTGACAAAACAGGAACACCCTAGTCTGAAGCAGCAGCAATATAAAATACCTTAGGATCAACAGTGTCTTACTGTGGCAAGGAAAAAGTTTGCTTGAAAGTAAGAACATAGCCAATACTGTGGCCACCTTCAGAGGGACTGGACTCTGAGAAGTTATCTACGGATACAACACTGCACAGCAGTGTATGTTGCTCTTTTCTCAAGATTCTTCAGAATCAAATCTCTCAGCACATTTAGAAAGGAATTCTTGACTTTCCAAATTAAATATGGACATCTAAAGCAAAACCTTGTGAGAAAAATGAATCCACAGATGTGTCTATGGGAACACAAGAGCAGCCAGAATCATCACAGGAGCCTGTACACTTAAAACTGCTTAAGTTAATGCCTTCTGCAAAATATAATGTAAGTCATACAACTCCTGCCTCTAGCACTCTTCCCATTACTAAGCAACCAGAATTTGCACTCCAATTCAGAGGTCCGAATTTCTACACATTCTTCAATTCTTCTGTGTGGTATTAACAGAATGAGAAGTTTGCACTATACTGAAAAAAAAAAAAAAAAAAAACAAAACCACAGTCATCAAATTTTTACCATTTTTTACAAAGAGCCTATAAAAAATGTTAGAAAGACCTTTCCTACCCTTACACTCCATTTTGAACAAAATATTTTATGTAGGCTATGTCTTCCATTTGGAGATATGTTTTGTGCTATCATTACAAGAGCTGTTTCAATGACTGCTGGTAAATTCACTCTCCCTTCATTTTCCTACAGGAAGCAATGACTTACTTTCCTGATATTCATCAGCCAAACACTGGTTACACTTTCTGACTTTTCAAAAGTTGTTTGATGTTTCAAGAAGTACATGCTTTTGTAAATGAGCAACTTTCTTCTTCTAAGAATCATTTGTACGGTTTAAGTGTTACATTACTACCATGCAATGGACAAATCAATTACTAAATCATACTAGAAGAAACAGCTTGCTAGTTGCGGGCATCTCTTGCAAGTTAGGCAAGACTATTTTACAGCAGCGTTTTACATTGGTTCCTATTCCAAAGCTTGTTAAAGTCAACAAAACAAGTCTCCAGCTGCCCAAAAAAAAAAAAAAAAAAAAAAAAAAAACACCACAAAAAAAGCCGCCCAAAAAAAAAAAAAAAAAAAAACACACACCAAACTAAAACAAAATCTTACACACAATAAAAAGGGGAAGTTACCATTTGGGTGAAAGTACGTAATTCTACGTGATTCCCTGATGAAAGGATTCAGTATGAAATTAGAAACTTAATGACTACCCATTTAACTATGAGGTCCAAACAACAGTTGAAATTCTGGTCTCTGTAAGATGCTGTGACAAGCACTGTTTGACATTTCCATGAGGAAAAAAGTCAAAAGCTCAAAGAAAAATCAAAGTTTTAGTCACACCTCCAAACAGAAAGTAGCTGACAAGCAGCCTGCTACTGCTGCAGCCTTTAAAGAAAGTTTACTCTGTGAAGACAATTCCTTCCTCCATCAGGAAGGTTCAGCATCTACTGCTGTACCAGTCACTGTTACTGATCTGGAGCAATTCAGTTATCACTTGAACCATATTATTGTTGTGTTTCTTCAGCAGCTGCAGATTTAACTGCCTGTCACAGAATCCCATCTCACACAGATTGGACAGAAGAGTGGTAGTGTGCTCTTCTGTAGCTGCAGGCTGCTGAAAACAAAAGAGAGCAAAAATAAGTTATCTTTTTATAGCTTGTCTTACTATTTGAAGCAGGGATCCTTCATTATAGTGGAATATGATTAAGGCACAGAGGCTCTTCTGTCTATGTTTAAGCTGTTTATACTCATTGTTCACTTATAAAGGCAAATTACTACTCTTACACAATGCTGTAAGAGATATATGCTTCTCTCTCTATGGTATGGGTTTCCCTATGATGGCAGAGCAGCATGCATCAAATGGATGCCATCAAGCTTAACATTTTAATACTGTGTGAAGTCCTACATGGAACACTGATACACTCATAAAACATACACCTACAATTTTAAGGTTGTTATTCTCACATAGTGTACAAGACAGACATTTACCTGTTCTATAATGGGTGATCCAGCAAATAATGCTTTGTAGGCAGAAGCTGCAACAGACAAAGCTCCTTTAACTAGTTCTCCTGCAATGCTGCTCCCTTGAGGGTATCTGCAGAGAAGTCAGGTGTTACTTTAGGGTCAGCAAAGCCAACTGTTTGTTTCATGCAAAATCAAAGTCTCTTCACGCAGATGTGCCAAGTGAGATTTAATTCTTGCTGTGGAGAACCACCTATGCTCCAAAGGAGCTCCAAATCACTGCCATTCAGGAACTGATCCATACAGGAAACTCATTCCTTCTTTTTTGATGCCTTCTATTAAATTGAAGCATTTTACTTCTATTAAATGCTAATGTTTGATTTCGATAATATGACCTCTGGGAAAACATTAAGTATCTTCACCCAGAAGAGTATATCTATACATGAAAGTTGCGCACTGTGACACACTCATTCAGGCCACAGTAACTTCCATTTGTTTTCCATCAAGTCACTGAATGCTTAATGTTCTGTCTTATTCCTCCAGTCTCAGTATCTTGAGATGCTCGATTCTGTAGCTTACTTAAAAAATCCCTATTTTAAGAACCTTGAGGCTTACCAAAAAGAAACTACAGAGTTTTAAGACCCAGTCTGAACTCTTCATGCACTTTTGCTTGCCAATTCTCCATCCTTCATATTCATGTCTAAGTAGAAACCAAGATATTATGAAAATACAGCATTATATAATTCACATTTCCTTTAAGGAGGGAGGCCTTTCTCTAAAATATTGGCCACGTGAAATCTGTAAGTCAGTGCTTTTTCCTAGGTGCCTAATTCAGCAGTTCTCAGTTTAAAACAGCATTTGTGAAGTCACAGCTTCAACTTCATTACCTTGGATATTCTGAGCACTTCTGTTTACTAGTCACAAATCCAGAAGATCCCGGTCCATGACCATCTTCACCACTGGGTTCTGGAAGAAGAAAAAATATCCTATCAACATGTCCAATTAACGAGAAGATGAAGAGATGCAACTTGTACATGAATGGAAAAGGAGTGGGACTTTTCAAGTTAGTCCCCCAGGCACAAACCAGGTCCACATGATTCTCACCACAATCAAAGCCATCAGAAGACTTTCAGAAGTCATTTGGCCGATTAGTCGGTAGATGCTCGCTTTAACATGAACTGCTGTCTGAGCTCCCAGTGACGGCAACAACAGCCTAAATACACAGCTCATCAGTTCCAGAGCAAGGTAATTTTCCAGATGTCTACCAGTACTTCTGCGTACCCTCCTACCATTTCTAATGCATAGATAGTCTTAACTGATCCACAAATCCAATCATTTAAATTTTCTATGCAGTAAAATTCAATCACCCAGAGAAAAAAACAATCATTACTTGGTAGATTTCTGCTCTCCTCAAGAACAAGACAATGTCAAATCCAATACTAGGCATAAGAAATATGTGATAACAATAGGATGCACCCTTCATTAAGTACTGTCAATACCTTCTCTTATTTGATTATGAGGAGCAGAAAAGATATTCTCCGAAGATGACATCTTTGGCTCTTGGAAGATATGATTCTGAAGAGATGCAAGATTCCTGAGAACATAGAGAGGAAAAAAAAAAACCAAAAACAAAAAACTGCTTTTAGTACTTTTATTCTACACGTACACATGTAGGTAAGTCAAGATAACAGACAAATGAAAAAGCTTCACATGCTCCCTTCTTCCCCTCTCTTGCACCCACCTAATCAGCAAATACAGGCTTTATAAAAAGGTGCAGGATTTAAGACATTCACTCCAGTATGTGACAACTTTTGTTGCAATAATTTCTGTGCGGACACTGAACTTAAGCACAGCACCATACAGACTCTACAGCAACACTAACAAGTATTTTGTTCTGTCCAGGAACCATACCTTTGTGTCTCAGGTAAGGTGTCCGCAGTTTCTGGAGTTAGTGGTACTACGGCCAATGTTTGTGAAGCTGTCAGAGTACCACTGACACTGGGGATGAGCAGTTGGCTTCTCCCTTTTGAATTCTCTGCTCCCGTTTCAGGTTCTCCTGTCTTTTCCAAACTGGGCTGAGAAAGAGCTGAACTATACATAGACTCCCCTAATGGACGACTGGTGTCAAAGCACTCAGGGAGAATAATTATATAATCCTCTGATGAAGCAGAGGAGCCTTGACTTTGAACATCATCTTTATCATCATCCTCTTCATCAGAATTGCCAGTATCACTACCGTGCCTTGCTCGCTCATCAAACAGTGGAAGGTCCCCTAATAGGAAAACAAAACCCAAGTAATAACAATTGTCCATTTTGTATGAGTAACAGCAAAGACAGTATTATCCCAGATACAACACAAGTATTCAGAAACAACTGGAAACCTTTGCGGCTGATATGAATGGTATAAATTTGTCTTTTGGTGGGAGGGTAGGGGTGTAATGTGAAAAAGTAATAGATCTTCCTGTGAAGCCTATGCAAATAGGTTGCTTACATATGCTGCTTATAATAAAAACAGGAATAAGAGCTACACTCAGGACTTAGAGCTGTAGTTTTCAGGCCCTAAATTACATGCATCAGAGACGACAGTTCCAGGCTCTGACTTCAAGGTGCATGTACAAAATACAGAAGCACCTGCCATGCTTAACATATGAGCACTTATTTGAATACCCAGCTGGAACCTTTATGTCTCAATTTATATTTTTTTTAAGCAGCTGTTAAACTAGCTGCTTGTTCAGAGCACTGACACAAGTTTTATTAGGTAATAATGATTCTCATAATCTAATGAGGATCAATTTCCTAGAATAGTGTCAGCTCTTTTTACACTTTTTTGTTTTTAACCCTTACTGCAGCTTTATTTTAAATTTAAGTCTATTTTACTTACCACATTCATTTTTTGTCAATGTCTCTGACTGACAAATCTTTGCCTCCTTTTTAGAAGTGGGATTGGTTTTTATCCTAGGAGATTCTTCATTTATCATACTGCAACTGAAGGCATCTTGCAATGTTTGTAAAGAGTCTAATAAAACAATTAGGAAAAACAATTCAACCTTTAATTTGCAGTGCAGGGCAATTTGTGGTCAATGTGTAATTACAAAAAAGTAAAGCCACAGAATCCAGCTAAAGACAGTGCTTACTCTGGAGGATTTTCTTTTTTTGAGGAGGTGTATGGTCAGGTGCAGCATCCAGGGTTAGAGAGCGAATTACAGTTTCACAGACAAACTGAGTTCCACTCATATCTTCTTCCCCTTCCTCCTGATTGAATGCATGTTCAGCTCTCACTTTCACTACATGAGTATCTGCCGGAAAGCAGGTTTCTGTCATTCCTTTGAAAGGGAAACAGAATAGATTATTTTAACACCACTGTAGGGATTTTCAGCTAGCCAAGTCTAATACTGACTACGTGTTAATGCTTTATAAAAAAATTTTGAAGGACTCAGAAATTTAGTTTAAGTTGAATGTGAAAGCGATTGGGAGGTATACAGGCCACACCTGAAGTGTTTTATAATCCAGTCTATGAAGTGCAAATTGTTAATTCTCATAAAAATTCTAGCAGTCCGACAAATCAAGGGAAGCATTTTTATGTCCGAACTCTACATACATTACACTCCAACCTCTACAGTCAGAGTAGTGTCCAACTACATTTGCAAGCCAAATAACTGTTTGTTCTTCCACAGAAGGTAAAGAGAGGAACTAGAATTCTTTATAGACATCAAGTCTGATGACTGTACAGAAGTGACAATATCCTCCTTCCCTCACCCTCAAGCTCCCCATGATTACTGCTTACCAGGCACTGGTTTAAATCCACTCCCCTCGTTCTCCTCCTCTATCTGACCTAAGCCAGGTTTCTCCAGCAATGGACTATCATGTGGCAAAGGGGACATGCATGGAGTCATGTCTGAAAAACAAAGGTAGCAAAGATAACTGGCACTAAAGAGTGCCTTCCTTCCTCCAGGAAACAACCTTTTAAGAAGTCATCCTTTTTTAAAGGATATTCCTCTAAAACTGAAGAAACCCAGTCACCTTACAATATAACTTGGTGAAATACACAACTAGCTTTGCATTACACTAGTACTCTTTGAGCCAAGAAAATGGCAGCTGCCTTCAATGTCTGGAATCTTATGGTCTTGGGGATATGAAGCTGAAAAGAAGCCAAGACTGAAAAACACAAAGGACGGCTGTCTGTGCTAGAGACAGCACACAGAATATAATGTCTAAAAGATCCTTACCAACAGGAGTATTGTGCGGCACTCGCTCCAATTCCTGCACAATATTAATGTCCAACAGCTCAAAGGACAGCAAATCCTGCAGAAAAAAACACCACACAGTTTTCCATCAGCAAACCCTGAAATGGAATCCTATGCTGTACTTCCCAGCATCAGAACACATTAGCTTAGAAATAACTACTTTCTTAGTTACTCAGCATGACCTCAGACGGCAGTTTCCCCATAATCTACTTCCACATCATTGAATATCATACATTAGGGCAACAAGAAGCAAAGCTAAGTACTCCCTTGTTAGTGGCCAGAGATAGACCCAACTCTAAGACTCTTCTTTGGAAACCTTAGCCTGTTCTGCACATACCTCCCACACTGTGACAGTCTCTGATACCAACTCAGGAAAATAGTTCTGCTGTATATAAACCCAATATACTCTTCCTGAAAATACAGTGGCTATTTTAGAGCTCAGGAGATTTTTAGTCTTACAGATGTCTAAGTACCTAGCTATCAACCCCAAGGTAGTTTGTTTTATCTCTACCTGAATTTTAGCACTATACCTGTGCAGTAAGAAGATCAACAGATGGGATATAAAATTCTCTCTCACTTGGCAGATTTTTAATCTTTAAAGGAATAGTTGGTACAGGTATTTCAGGCTGGTCCATGATTTTACCCATCAGCTGAGCACCTGCTTCTGTCTTTAGGGAAGCATCCTGGAAAAGTAAAAAAATGAATCCCCTTAGGCAGGCAGCAAATAAAACGATTACCTGAAATGTTAAGCCTGAATTTTGTGTCTAAGTACACAAACAATTTGAAAGAGATTTAACTCATTTCAGATCCAAAAAGACAAGATCTAACATAAAAGAGAAATCCTGCTGGGTTTCAGTTCAGCCAAAGAACTAGACAAATAACTACGAAAGACTGATAACTAATCCCGCGCCTGTCAAAAAGAATGACTATTATAGAATGTAAAAATGCAATAAAACTAGTGTTTCTTTTCTATTAAAAATAAAAACTAGAAGTAAACAGCTAAAGGAATCCCCTGGAAATGCCACTGCACCAAACAACATACATGACTCCTACCAGGCAATTCTGAACTGCTCCAAAGAGCAGATGAGTTACTTGCCTGTTTGGTACTGGAAGCTTTGTCCTTCTGACAGGAGTTGGAGTCAGATTCCTCCCCATTACTTTCTAGATAGTCGGGAGCTGGGGAAGGATCCACAACAATACTGCACCAGATCCTGGGCCCAAACTGTTCCCCTCTGTGTGCAAGTCTCCAGTGAGAGGTGTAAGTTCCTTCTATATTAGGAGCTACAAACTCAACTGAAACAGTTCCTACATGTCCTGATGGAAGAGATGGCACTAACACATCTTTTTTTTCAGAAGATGCCAAGGTCAGATTTCCCCACATAAGTTTCAGCTGAAATATAGAACAGAAAAACCGAAAGTTAACTTCACCAGCTTGTCTGCAAACTGTGGGCAGTAAGAAGCACTTACAAGTTCCTCTGCTAAAATGCCTTGTAGATACTAGGTGTGGAGAGGCAGCTAGTAAACATTCTCACGTTAGTCACTCTCAGCACCAAGTAAGAAGATACCCCCATCTCTCAACATGAATGCAGTCACTCACAGGAGAAAGGCTTTTTGAAGTCAAAAAACCAACACACCTGTTGTAAACAAGGTTGAACTCTAACATTTTAACAGCACTGGAAAGTATGTTCAGTGATGTTAATCTCAACTGCTTTCCTTCTGTAGTCTGCAGCAGAGTACCTAGACAGCTTATTGCCCTGGAATTCCCAGCTTGTGAATTAACAGACCAAAGGAAAGCCTAAAGAGTTCTGACAGGGAATGCAGATTCCTAATGCATACAAATATTACTTTCCAGAACTATGAGTGTGTAAAAGTAGCAAAGGCAAGATACCTTTGTGTCCGAGCTCCATTCCACATTGCCAGTGTTTTTCATTCGCCAGTGTTTGATAAACTTTGTTCCTGGTTGCAAATGAGTTCCATCTGGCAAATTCTCGTCCACAAATATTGCACTTAGTGTCGGGACAATTGCTTGCAAGGGCTGACTAGGATTCCTGGGATTAGGGAGAGGAATAAAGAAAATGCACCAAAAGAACACCAAAACTGAGGAAGTCATTCAGTTGCTATTTCACTATCTAAAAACAGAGGAGACCATTTAGTTTGGTTCCTTCCTTTATGTCTAGAAGTGTTTCAGAATGCTAATATTTTAGCTACTACTTTCATCTTCAGTCGAAACACCAGATAAGAGTTTGCCTTCCTTTGCTTAACAGAAAAAGGAACACATCAAAACGAGATTTACTTATTTGGAAGCATATTATTTCAATTACAGAACTCAGGTTTAACAGAGAAAATTTCACTGTTCTTCATTTGATTTGGTTTAGTCCAACAGCACGTCAGGTCATGCTACTCTTAGATAATCAAGTCGTCATATTCATGATGTTGAACCAAAACCATTGTGCTATGGTCTAACCATTAGTGTCTTATTTGACCTTAAAAGCAAGATACCACAGTTTTTGCCTGAAAGGGGCTCAAAAATAGATTTAACCCAAAGCTGTACTGTTAATTTGGTTGCACTGAGAGTGAACTAGAGAGGTAGCTCATTTCTATGTCAACTTTAAAAAAAAAAAAAAAATCTAACAGAAAGACCTTGGACCTCAATTAGCATCGGTTTTGTTCCTGTAATATGCCTGTTCATTAAAAAGGAAGCAAGGATAGCTATGTCAAGCTCCTCACAAATGTAACTGATCAAGGTTAATTTAACTTTTAAATGTCCTAAATGGAAGGGATGCATATATATGTAAACCTAGGCCTTCCTGTTCCTACTAAATCTATATAAAACCAAGTTTCTGGTAATATTAATCAGTTGTTTTTTGGTATTTGTTGGTTGTTTTGTTGTTGTTTTGTTTTGTTTTGTTTTGTTGTTTTTTTTTAATTCTCCTACTCTCCTCCTAAGTAAAAACACTCCACCTTGCAAACTCTATTTAAACAAAATTCTCACAAGATCCAATGACAAATACTACTTTAAATGAGCAATTTCACAACTTCCCATTACTTTAACTTCATCTCGTCACAAAAGGTCAGACAGCACAACTCAGAAACACCCAGCTAACAACATCTCTTACAAGAAGGTATTAGGTTGGAGACTCTCAGATTTCAGAGTAGATGAGCCACTAGTTTCCAGTATATGGACAGAGTTCCACAGATGAATTTTCCTGTGCAATTTTAGCTGTTTCTTGAGCTCCCGGACCTCTGCCTTTCGCTGTTTCTTCTCTGCTCGTAATCTTTGCTTTTCTGCCTTCAGAAATCTTTTGTCCATCTGTTTCTGGAGCCTGCAGAGAAAATAAGACACCTTGTTATAACACATTAAATGGATTAGAATTTAGCTTTAGCCAACACAGTCCTATCAAAGGAGGATGTCTCATGCTTCTAGACTGAATACCAGATGATTTTAAAAGAACATTTTCATAGCTGCTTATGAAGGTATTTTGAATAGCCTCAGTGAAAGAGAAAACAAACGTATATTAGAGTATGTTCAAAAAAAAAGCAAGCTCTGAAAGTTTGCTACCCACCTATAACACAGAGATCTCTTTTCTATTTTGTTATTTTGTCTTATGCTGTGGTATTTACCACTTAGGCCATCTCCATATATAGCTATTTTTAGCTACTTTCAATAAAGTTTGGATACCATTTTAATTTCTTATTATCTCTGAATCTAAAACAAAAGCTGCACATCAAACACAGGTGTTCCCACTTTGCTATCAGAATCGCCATTTACCTGACTTGTTCCAGAGTAGCAGGCAGGCGAGGTGGAAATTCTGCAAGGCTGTAATTCTCAGCAATGCAGAGTACAGGTCTTCGCAGCTTTAACAAGACATGATTAGGATCGTGTGCATATGTTCCTGCTTCACACTGCTCACAGATATTGTAGGCTGGGCAAAGGCTGCAAAGCAGAAAAGAGAGGTTACCAGGAAGCAGACAAAGAATTAACACACTAGACACTAAAAGATAATTAATCCTTACATTTCTGCACAGAAATAACTCTAACATACTACCGTTGTAAGCAGGGCTCAAGTGAAACAGAAGCTGGTTCTCTCATTTATATATCAAAATTTGGAGTCATCTGGAATATCTAGATCAGTATCCCTCTTCCTGGCAAAACTGTAACACAGTTCCCACTTCCTTCTTGAATACACATTTAAAAAAAAACAAAAACAAAAACAAAAAACAAAAAACTTCCTTTAACAAAAATGACTAGCAACTGTTGCTATAAAGGATAAAACAGTATACTGAAATCCAATGCCAGAAACAGCATCATACTTACAAAAATATATTGGATAAGTCAGTTGAAGTATTCAGAGATGCAAAGCAGACTGGTCCTGCTAAACAGGACTGCTAAAAAACAGACTATAATATCCTGCCATCAAGAAAAATTATCATCTGAAGAAAAAACTCTGTTTGCATTCTATTCACTGCTGGCTCCACAGTCCTAAAATGCTTACCATCACAGCAATTGCCTTGCTCAAATAAAAGCCTCAATTTTGACAGCTCAATTAAGGCACTCATCAAAACCTATTTCACAGTATTAAACTGACAACAGTGAGATCATTTAAAAAAGCATGACCTGCCTTAGTCTCACTGACTGTCAGAACCAAATAAAAGCCTATTATAGACTGTTGACTTTGAGTTTTTTGTTTAGTTAACTGGACCAAATGAAACATTTTCTTTTACAATTACTCATGTTATATGCAAAAAAGGTAAAGAACATCTAAGAATATAGAGAGTGTTACAAAGTTCTCTCACTGTTTTAATAACCCCATTTTCTCAAAATAAGAGTTAATCTCACTCTCATGCAGATAAGGTCTAGCCACCACAGCAGAGAACACAAGCTGTTTGTGAGACATCCTAGATGTTCTCAAATATACAGCATGCTGCAGATTAGAAAACCACACCAAGATAGTTTCTCAGACGCGTTCACATGCCCTTCACATTAGTACTCCCACACTCCCATCTCTCATCATATCCTACCTGCACTGGTAGCGAACTCCAACAATCCGGGCCTGGCAGTTGCAGCAGGAGATCAGCCAGTCACACTGGTTGTCATTCCCTGACTGGCTCTCTGAAGCTGGAGGTACTGCTGTAACAGTGCTTTCAGAAAAATCTGGAGGCTGATTGTGATGAACAAGCTTCTCATAGAGCTTCTGCTCCAGTTTCTCAACTGTTTCCTTAACCACTTGTTCCCTGAACTGGAAAAAAAAAAAAAAAAGATTATGTCATGGAGACCCACCTATGCAGTTTCAAAAGCTGTATTATATTGTTTGAAGTCTGTCAATCCTTACAGTCATAAAGCAGTTCAGAACCCATTTCCCATCCCCCAGCATATTCCAGATGAAGTTAAAGTATCACATTAGTCAAAAAGCATTTGTATTTTAAAAAATAATAGCTCATGGCTTTTAACAATGCAAATTAAAAATCATTATTTATGCTTACAACATTAAGTTTCTTCTTCCATAATCTTGCACCAAGGGAAGGAAAGTAATCTCCGAGACAATTAACACAACTCCAAATAAAACCCCCTGAAGTCTCTGTCATCAAGTCCTTAATTTGTCCATCAACAATGTTTTAAATACAAGCACTACGTTCTGATACCTTTAGTTTGTAAAAAGAGGTAGCAAAGGAAGGGAGACTCTTATCTTTAAGCATTTTTTTTTCCCAAAGGCATATACTACTGTATACTGTACATTCAGTTTTAAGAACTCACTAGCTAACCGATTCTCACATATAACTGCTTCTCGTGATGTTTAGTAGCTGTTCAAAACAAGTTAACATCCAGATCTTATTAACCTATATGTTCTACTCAATAGTCTCTGGAAGCATTTTCTTAAGCTGAACAATCAAGAAAAGCAAGGTCATCAAATGCTATGCTTCAAGTCTCAGGAAGCTTTAAGGATTTCCTTAATGAAACTGGCCAAACAAGAGTCTTCAACAGCAACACTGTATTTCACGCTCTCACTCATCATGAGTGCCCTTCAGTTCCTGTGACTTATCTCGAGTGCCACAAAATCTATCACAGGAGCTACTTAAAACTACACTCAAACCAATGAGGTGCATAAACCAAACAATCCACTTCTCACAAGAAGTAGCATGTACCAAACTTTTTCCAAGGTAACAACTACACTGTTCAGTCATAGTCAGACATCTAGTTTCCATTTATCACCACAAACACAAAATGATTAGATGTGGCCAGGATCTTAAAGGCATTTAGACAAGTACTGAAAGCAACTGTGATCAGATGTGTAGAGCTGGGCATCACAGATATCTCTTCCACCAACAGCCTCTTATGTATTCCTTTAGGAATACTAAAATTCAGAAGAAAATACACTCACTGTTTCCAAGTAGCTAGTAAACCATTCCGGAGGATTTTCATTCGTTCTTCCTGTTCCAGTGTGATTTAACTTTTGCTGGGAAAAAAAAAAAACCAACAAACAAGCAAACAAGACACACCACAAAAATAAGTCACAAACCTTCAGTATGTAAAGCTGAAAACAAACAAACAAACAAAAAGAAAAACCAACACCTCAATGGAGAAAGTTAACTACTTTCAATTCGGTCTCCCCTCAAGTGCCTTACAAAAAAAAAAAAAAAAAAAAAATGATTTCAAGTTCTTCGGGAAAGAGGAAAAGCAGCACAAGGAAGCCACTTGCATTTCCCTGAAAGATTTCTGCCTTATTAGCATTTGAGTGTAATTACACATCCAAGCCAAATAAATCAATTAACCTCAAGCTAATAGATGCCAATCAGGGCTTCAAGAGTCCAACTGCTTTGTTTATCAAAACACTTCGGAACGGTGAACATGAAACAATCTGTATTTCTAAATGCAGCATCAAAATATCCTCTTGAATACATTCAAACAATTTTGCAAGTTTCAATGGGTGCAGGTAGCTACAAATGACAAGTTTTTAGGTGTGGGTACAGATAGTGATCAGTCTATAATGTGAACTACACTTATGAGTTCTTTGTTTCAATGAGTATACAGTCCAGTTCTGCAACCTACCTGAACTGTCATCTCCTTTTCATTTTTTAAGTGTTCCTCTAACTCCTGAGCTAGCATGGAATACTGCAATAGAGGTTTCTTCTCATCTTTGAGAGGTGCCAACTCTTCTGTCACGTTTTTTTCGCATAGTTGTGAAGCACAAGAATATGACGTTTCTCTCAGAGAAGAGTCTTCATATACGTTCATCTGGAGCTGATTTCCTTGTTTAACTGCAATCTAAATAAACAGTACATACGTACACCGTATTTATTCCATTTAAAATCAACACACAAAATTCTGTGAAAATACAGCACGACACTACACTGGAGAGGCTGGGAAAGACTAACACACACAAAAAGAAAAACTGAGTGAAATGCCAAGGTACAGTTGGCTGATATTGTACTCTGACTTTCTTAAAAATTACCAGTCGGCTTATTAAAAACTTTTTTAGAAGCAAAAGGATAATTAGACAGTCTGCAGAATTTTTATCTACAATAAAACTGTTCATATGGGCCAGTAAATAACAGAGATTCTGTCCAGGAAGTTAGAAGAAACTTAAATTTATGTTTATCTTCAAATTATTATCATATTTGATATTCAGACCACTAGCAAAAAGTTCTGAAAGCATTAATATTGTACAAATGAAATTTCAAGGAAAGTAATTCTTATTTTGCCAAAGTAAAAGGAACTGCTTATGAAGTAAGCATTGATACCTATTAAAGTTTTAATGTTGTACTCTCTGGCAATAAAGACTACATGGCAAGATATTTAAAGGGTTCACAATATCTCCAATAATACATATAGAGAGAGATATATATCTCTGTATCTCCAAACACAGGACTAATATTTAAGTGTCCAGGAAAGGCAGCCATTTCAATTTAATTTCATAATCAATTTGCTCAGGGCCCTGAATCACAACTGCCTACTCAATTAATTTATACAAATAAAGATTAGCCTGGATGGAAAAAAAACTAACAAAACATTCAAGCTACTGTCCAAACATAGAAAACTAAGCTATTCCGATGTGCACAGGCCACAGGTCAGGTAATGCTGTCCCTTCTTAGCTACACCAATTTAAACTGGAGAAGAATGAACATACTGAAAAAGTCAAAGAGAGCATTTACCTTCAGAGCTTCTTCGTATTCTTCTAAAAAAAAAAAAAAAAAAAGGCTGAATTGCCATGTTGAATGTGAATTTTCCCTGTCTCAAACAGCAGATATAAGTTTAGCACACAGTATTCAGGGACCCTTACACCAAGAAACATCTCCCACACATTTTGCAAATTCTTTTAAAATAGTGCTACTGAAAGAAGTTGTATGTACACCAACAAACAAACATGTTCTCACAGCCTAGACTTAGGACTGCATTAATGTAGTTATTTCCAATCTGTTCTTATAGACCATAAACCCCTTCATTTGGGAAGGATTTGATGCCAAACCATACATAAAATCCAAAAATCAAAAAGCAAGCATTCTCAACTGCTTCTCCAAAAACATGAACAACAGCTTTGGTCTGTTTATTGTTTTCACTTCAGTAAAGTAGCAGCTCACCTTTGCTATTCACAGAGACCTGCAAAGAGAAACAACAGTGAGGAATAGTCACTTATAAGCTTTTGTGATTCTCTCAAAAATAACAACCTTTCAGAATAAATGTACTCTTATTCAGAGGTTCCAGAATACCACTCCTTCAGATATGTTATTGCTGCCTTGTTTAATCATTAATCAATGCTGTGGTGTTCTGGAGCAGACTGTGTTCTCTACTAGATTTGCACAATAAGCATGGTCTCTGGCATCTACTAGAATCCAGAACAAGCATGGTGTCATCTACTGGCATTAAGCTGGCACCTGTACCACTGAGATCACTATACAAGTAAACAGAGGTTGGACTCAGTTGCTTTTAATGCCCAGTAAAAGAACAGTTAAATGTTTCAAGATTTAGATACAAGCCAAGTCTATCTTCTACATGTGCTCATTTATCAATTTTGCACTTAGAAGTTATAACACAAGAAGCTATTTAATCACTACAGCATTGCACGATTCTGAAAAATGTTTACTTTATTAGCATTTGAAAAACATCTTTAGCAGATGCAGCTATATACTTACACAGATACAGGCTGGGAAAGAAAGAAAAAAAAAAAACACACTAACCCTAAACTTTCCCTGAGATGTTGCTGGAAGCATCTTGACATTTCCCCTTATGGGGAAAAAACCCAAAAACCAAACAAAGAACACAACACACCAAAAAACCACCAACCCACAAAGATCCCCATCTCTGCAGTTTTCTAGAGCACCAAACCAAGTTGTGGAACAGAGTTTGCAAAAGTTACACTCCATTTGAGAGCTACATTCTGCTCTAAATCTCCAGATAAACAGAAAGGATATGAAAGGGTGAGGTTATGCCACCCCGGAAGTTACTCAACAAGGGCAACTAGAAATAACCAATTTGTTTTCCGAGTCAGTAATCTGCTTGGAGATTATAGCATTTGAATAAAAAAAAAAGCAGAGGATTTGAGTACACCAGATCACTGAAGTAAACATAGGCGAATGACGGAGGACCTACATTTTTCAGAGGAAGAAGTGTAGATTGAAGAGACTGGGCTTTACCCATGACTGTAAACACAAATAGTTACAAATACCTTATTCTCATAAAATGAAAAATAAAAGAAGTTCCTCAATGGAAGCATCACTACCTCACACCACATAGAGCCACTGGCTGCTTCTACAGGGTAAGGAAAAAAGAAAAAAGGCAGTAACATCTAAAAAAATACTTTAAAATAACTATGCCAAACTAAGAGTGAAACCACAGACTAACAGCTATTTTCTTAACAAAGAGGGGGGAGGCATCACCTCTGATATGCATAAGACATTCCTGAAGGACCCACTACAAATTATCAAGAAACAGAAAAATTCTCAGAAGTTATATTTTGGTAGACCTTTTGGGAGGGTGGAGTAACAGGTATTTTACCTCATCATTATCCTCATCAATGTACTTGATCTGAATGTTGTCCAGGTCAAATGAAACTTTAACCTTTAAGGAAAAAAGAACACAAAACCACAATGAGACAGGACTACAGATGTCTTCTGTCAATCATAATTATTAAGAGGGGGGAAAAAAAATTTAACCCTTCCACCCCTCCCTTCAGTTTCTCAGCTGAAATAAACACTGTTTTACAGAATCCACTCTTGTGGAGTTGAACAACTCTCCCTAGCACCTGCCTCCAACCTTTACTAACTTCCTATAACGAAAAGAAAAAAAATAGTTTTGCTTGTGTTTCACTCTCTCTAGTTAATGTTTACTCCAAAATAAATAATAATCACCTTTCTATTATAAGAGGACTAGCTGAGGGCTAATGAACTCAGTCATGGTAAACACTGCAATGCACAAAGGCTAAAACAATCACCAAATGCTAACTTTTATATAAAAATAACCAGGAATACAATTCATACAGGTTATCAGCCTTTCCTCCCACAAATCTATTCGTGTTGTGATAAACTAGGACTAATTCAAGTATAAAAAGAGGAAAAAGCTCATTGTACTACTCACTGGCTAACGCACTGTATAGCTGAACATATAAATCCATCATAGAGGTCAGAATTAGGAGAAAAAGGCTGAGCAGCTATTTTGTATTTTGCATCAATAGGGCAGAATGAAAAGCATCAAGTGAACCATAAATGTTTCCCTACGTTGAATAACAGTCTCTCATGTGCATTTTTATGTTTAACTACACAAGGTGTATTTTTATTGACAAAAAGCTCTCTCTGAAAAACGGGTATATCCAGACACTTCCTGCTTGCCCCGACCCAACAGAAGAACACTATCAGCCTTAGAAGACAGCAAATGGTTGGGACTTACGTAGCACTATAAGAGCACAATGACATAGTTACATACATTCTGCAACAAATGTGCTACAGGCAGGTTCTTCCAATTATGTATTCCAAATTAATTTGGGGAGTGCAGTAAGAGAACCAACTCAGTGTGTCAAGAAGAAACTGTGGTCTGCATCTACATTGTCTAGCACCACAGACTGTTCTCCTAAAACTCAGGTTAGAACCAGCAAAGGGTTTATCGCTTATAAACACCAGACATGTTTAATAATACATTAAAACATAGGAGACAGTTTAATTGACACTACCTTGAAACAGTAATTCACACAACACAGTGCAGAGACAGGCGGCTAGAGAAGCACTACTGTAATAGAACACCACACCTCGAACAAACACACACCCTCGCTCTCAGACTACTTAGGATTAAGGGCAACACCATGCTTACAGAGCAATCTGCTTCCAGCTTTGATGCAAGTAGGATTCTGACTAATTCAGACATTCCTGGAGGGTCTACTTGTCACCAATTATTTTAAGCCTGATCTAGCACCTCTTGTACAAGAATGAAATACAATGAACGAAGATGATTCAGTTCAAACTCTGAATTTGAGTAATTCACAATGCAAGAACCACCTACAAGGTACACTGGAATATGTCAGATAAAAAAAAAAGAAGGCCTGAAGAAGAAAATAAAATATTGGCAAGATCTAAGATGTAACTTCAAGATCAAGCTCTAAAAAACCCAGAACAGTTGCTACACAATTTAAAACAAACAAACAAAAAACAACAACCCCCAAACACAATACTGCAGTTTCATCATAACCAAGAGAAACTTTACTACACATTTTCAATGTCAGCCAATACGAGATTTTGCACTTAATAGCACCGGATATAAACATTCTCACAAAAACTCTTCCAATATACCAAGGGCACGGTATACAGACCTTCGTAAGCAACTGTCTATGCATGCATGGCCCACTAACAAATCCAGTTACATTAAGATTGGCACACAGAAGGCATCAGGAAGCACAAAACAAAATATCAGAGACTCGATATTCCAGAAAGTAAAGACAAATCTTCAGGAAAATGCTCTATAAGCAAAAAAAGATTGCTACTTCACTGTATCTACTTCAATAAATAAAAGAACGAGATGTAAGAGCAGCCTGTACTTTACAGGGGTAGTATCCAAACCAATTACCCGTAACTGGCAAAAAGAGCAAAGCACACAGCTCACACAGAAAAACAAGCGACCTTACGCAGCAATAGTAAAAGTTCCTGTTAACACTAAAACAAAAAATGAAGCCACATCAGAATAAAACACCGTTTGTCACAGACTGTTAAAAGAACGAGATGTAAGAGCAGCCTGTACTTTACAGGGGTAGTATCCAAACCAATTACCCGTAACTGGCAAAAAGAGCAAAGCACACAGCTCACACAGAAAAACAAGCGACCTTACGCAGCAATAGTAAAAGTTCCTGTTAACACTAAAACAAAAAATGAAGCCACATCAGAATAAAACACCGTTTGTCACAGACTGTGGCCCTGCCCCTGTCGCGCGCTCTGAGGGAGGACGGGACGAGACGAGACGGGACGGGACGCCTGCGCTCACCATGGCCTCCACATCCGCCCACGTCGTGTGCGCCGAGTCCGACACCAGGAAACTTTGCGTCTCGCCGCGGCAAGTGACACGGAGGT